TAATAAAAAAAACAGAAAATAATTATTAAAAAAATCGGTTTTTTTAAAGCTATAATTCTATAAATTTTATATATATTTAAGGTTTTAAAAAAATATATATTTTTACTTAGAAAAAATAATTTTTTTTTTTTTACTTCTTATTATTATTATTTTTTTTTATGATAAAATGATAAAAGGAAATAAAAATAGCAACGTAAATTTTTTTTTGAGATTGTCAATAACACACACTAACTTGATAGGATTTTTCTTCATATATATACGTAAAATACAATTTAATTTTTATTAAAAGTAAACATTATAAAATGATTTAAAGTTGGCTTTTTATGTGTTTTTTGCTGTAAAGCAAACAGAAAAATCCTGTCTTACAAGATGAGTATTTGACCACTACCCCATTTGACATCATCTACTACTTTTTTGCTATCCAAACTTGTTTTCTGACGTGTATTGTAGACTCCATGCTGTAAATCATAGCTGTCTCGGTGGGTTCCCATGAGATCACGTGATCTATCACCATCACCCACATGGATATTTTTTTCCAGATGAATTCTTCTTCTACCTTTTATGTTACCATAACAAATAAAAAATTGCATGTCTGTTGCTTTGAAAAGTATGAAAAAACATATAGGTATACTTTTTAACTTTGATTTTTTATTAATGTTTATAAAACTTACCTTTAAAGTTATTCCTATAAAAAAAATATAAGATTTTACTATGTGTTTTTTTTTGTTACTTTTTAATACTTTCAGAATGGCCGTATTAAAATAACATAAGCGCCGTTTTTTTAATGTTAAAAATTTCTTTAAAAAAATATAGAAAAAAACTTCTTACTATAAAATTCTTTTATTAGAAATTTATTCTTTCGGATTGTTTTCGCATAAATTTACTATTAAATAATAAAGTTTTTCTACCTAAACCAATTTTATCGACTAATTTAGAGCTAGAACAACGTATAATCCGTACGAAGAATTTGGAAATTTTTTTTTAATAATTAATATATAAAAGATAAACAATAATTAAATGAATAAACAACATTATAAATCGGCATATATTTATATATATATATATAATTTTTATTGATTTCTTCCCTCATTCTTCGAACAGTTGTGCTAAAAAAAAAACTCATGACGTAATCTTCATCGTTATGTTATTTATGTATTGTTTTTTATTAGTAATATATTTCTTTTTCTTTTCATTAAATCTGTCTGTAACGAAAAAAAATCTGTGTACAATACGAATTTCTTTTCATTTTATTGATATACTGTAATCAAAGAGACATTATGAAAAGGGGGCAAAGCTCTTTACTTCACGTCTCTTGAATAGACAAACAAACCATTTTTTTGTTTGGTTTTTTTTTGCTAGAAAACACTCATTTTTTGACAAAAAAAACAGCTATAGTAGGGTGTTGAGGACGGGTATAAGGGTCTTTGGATCAGGATATAAATCACTATAAAATCTAAGGCACAAACAAAAAAAATTATATAATAATAATGATAATAATAAATCAGACAATATTATATAAATCATAAAACATACAGTTAACAGTTTCATTTTTTTTTTGTTTTTTAGCAACATGGCAGTTGCGAGTATCCGAAAACCCGCTTCTTTTTTACACCAAAAAGCATGTATTAAACACACAACTCAGAAACAAAGCAATAGGACAACTGTAGACCACATTCTTCTAGAAACAACATACAAGAGAGTAAACAATTTCACTCTCTTCGGGTTTCAATTCGTTGGTTCCTTATGAATTTGGCCTATATATATATAAATATATATACTA